AAAGAATTTCTTACAACCAATTAATTAGTTCTGGTGACTCGTTTCCTACCAAAGTTACTAAATGAAATACCTTTTGGATTCTCAACTCAGAAATTAGGAAGACATTTTCATTTTGCATAGCCCAACCTTGAATTAATAAATTATTTAATATAATATTAATTTATGCCACTTACTGACTATAAAGTTCAATTAAAATATTCTGGAAAACTCATTACTCATCAGCCTATCTCATAATAAATGTGTCATATCTTATTTAGAGAAAATAAATGAATGTCTGTGCAAAAGGTAATTGGGTTTTCTGAGCATCTGAAGTCAACTGGGATGGTAATAATCAAAATGTGGTCTTGAGGATTATAGAAACCCAAGGCTTTTCCAGATGGACACCGAAGAAGTATCCTGCAGTGACTTGATAAATATTTATTTCTAGCATCATAATAAAATCTGTTTTCTTTTCTCTGGAATGAATTATTTGTTCATGACAAATCTCATTGTGGCCTCTCTGATTCTTCCAAATGGCTAGAGAAAAAGAGAGAATGGGGGACAGGATTTCAGGTAAACTGAAGAGGTCTATGTATTGAAAAAGAATAAGTCACTGACCTAGAGAAGATCTTCTAGAGGAAAGAGGTGGGTCTCTAGCAGTCGCATTGCATGACCAGTAAGAACACAGGGTTTGTCTTCACATACTGGGTTTGTGTTCCAGTTCTTTCTTAAAGCACTGTGGCTATTCTTGGTTTGGACTCGCATCTGTTACAGTAATGGTAGCCATTGTAACAGGGAGATTCAATGCAGTGTAATGGCTCAGACATAATCAGAGTTCATTCCTCCATCCTGTGACTGTCTGGGGCAAATCCTATAAGCAGCAGGCAGCTGTGCTCATGCAGTAAACTCAGGGACGCAGACTCCTTCTACATTGTGGCTCTGCCACCGTCTAGGTCATGTGATTGCAGCTGGTATAAGGAGAAAGAGAGTGCCTGAAGAATGCAGATCCCTTCTTAAAAACCTTGGCTGGAATGAAGACATGAAGACACCTCACACCCACTAACATCCCATTGGTGAAAATCAATCATGAGTCACATCTCAACTCAAGGGGATGGTGAGAGGGAATGCAGTCCCTGTCTGTTCAGCTGCTTGTCAGGAAAAACCCTGTGACTATGAACATGATGAGGAGGCATACATTTTGGCAGATGGCAGGCTATATCTGCCATAGGGCTGTTTATCATAGACAGCAGAGAGGACGTATTCTGTGGAAGGGAAATCACTGGATGACAGATGAAAAGTTTGGAAAGGTAAAGAACTTAAGAAGGAGTCAACCAGGAAGCAGGGCAGTAGGCTGGAGAACAGTGAGATTAAACCCGTGTAAAAGCCAGGCTAGGGGGCTCATCCCTCAGCTAAGAGGAGAAGCATCAGACATCAGGAAGAGAAGAGTGCCACCAGTTAATGCCAGTGTCAAAATGGTGGATCCTGATGATCAGAGACTTTCTCTTCTAAGGAAACCTCCCTACTTGGTTCTGTGCTGGGGGCTAGCGTTACTGGAGTGGCTGAGGTTTGCTTCTACCCTCAAACAGGAAATGGAGACAAAGCTGAATTCAGGAAGTAGATGAGGGTCTTTGGAGGCTGTGTAATACACACACACACACACACACACATAGAAACAGTTGCATCAAAGAAGTGACACACATGCTCTTTAAAGATGAAATGATGGGTGCCTGGGTGGCTCAGTTGGTTAAGCAGCTGCCTTGGGCTCAGGTCATGATCCTGGAGTCCCAGGGTTGAGTCCCGCATCTGGCTCCCTGCTAGGCAGGGATTCTTTTTCTCTCTCTCACCTGTCCCCTCTCATGCTCACTCTCTGTCATTCTCTCTCTTTCAAATAAATAAATAAAAAATCTTAAAAAAAAAATTTCAACCATGAAATGATGACAGATGAAAATGAGTTGGTGTTTGTCAGAAAATGTCCAAACCTTTTGTTGTAAGGAACTGAACTTCCCTACATTGGCCTCACCTGGCATTTCTACCTTAATTAGCTCTTTGTACTCTGATGTATTTAAACATGGTACCAAGGGACAGGTAAAGAATAATGAGGTGATCACAGAATGAAAGCACAAGTAGATGAGTACATCCATGCTTATTTCATCACTGTTTTTAGTGGCAGAAATCTAGAAAGATCTTTAATGTCTATCATTTAAGGGAATGGCTGAAGAAGGTATTTTCCACCATGCTGGGGATTACTATACAGCTATTAAAAAGAATGGCTTAGATCTGTAGATACTGACCTGGAAGGATGACCGTGGACAAAGCAGGTCGCAAAGCACTGTTCTATGGGATCCCACCATTGTATAAACAAACTGAACCACAAAACCCATATGTGTGTGTCTGTCTGTGTAAGCACGGAGAAAAGTGTGTAAGAATACATTCCAAGTTTTAACATTGACATTTGGAGGAGGGACTGGAGTTTTTAACTATTTAAATATCTGTCTTGTAAGTTAATGATTAATAAACAAGAAAAAAACCCCACAAGAGTGTTCTAGATCTCAGAACCTGGTAAAATACAGAATTCTTCTTCCATCCAAACCGTGATCATTCTTTCAATAATTACTTACTGAGGATCTACTCGGTGCCAGGTGTTTTCATGGACATTATTTTCTTTAAGCTTTAGAATAATGCCAAGAGATCTTATTGACAGGTGATAAAACAAGAGAAAACAGAACTTCATAACTTGCTCAGGGTCAGGTCACTGGGAAGATGATGGAGTGAGCATTTGTGCCCAAACCCTCTGGCCTCAGAGCCAGTGTACACTTGCCTGGACTGCCCGCTCCTAAAATCAGGAAGAGAGGTGGCCTTATTCCCTATTTCTGAGGTCAGGCAACCGAGCATTCTAACAAAGCCTGGTTAACTAGTAAGGGTCCTAGTTTATGAACAGAAGGGGGACCTAGAGCAGGTCAGAATCCTGTTGGGAATAATCCCAGTGCTTGCTGAAAAGCCTAAGTGGAAGGACTGGAAAGATCCAATCTTGAAAGAATCCCCTGGAGGTGAGTCACTTGGTGACACCTCTATGAGGGCAGAGAAGTACACCGGTAGAATCTTCTCTCAGGGTCTCAGGGGAATGGGAAGAACTGCTTTGCCCCCGGAGGTGTTTCCGGGGGCCCTTGTGTGTGTCAGCGCACTCTCGTCCTTCTCCAGCTAGGAGCTCTCTGGCTGTAATGATGGGCTTCCAACAACTGAAGAACTGAGAGGCCATGGGTTCCTTCAGAACACATTTCCAGCCAGAGAGAGCATTGTGGGAGACAAAGAAAAAACTCATTTCTTAATTTTTATTGGAATTGGCAATTCTGGTGAGGATTTTAAAAATTAGCCTCCCTTCTCTTGGTGGGCTGAGCTTTAGCGTCACGACTTGAGGCTGTGGATGACCCAGGAGGTTTAGGTCACACTACTGCGTTGATGTGGGCCCAGATTTTTGTGGCACTCTTCTTGGTCGGCTCTCTCCAAAAGTTTCAAATTAGTAGGAATACGTTTTGATTAGACAAAAACATAGATATTTTAGAAAAATGCTTACAGAAAAGCTAAAAAAGAACATCTAAGGCGGTGGTTCTCAATATGAGGATAGTGTTCAGGCCACACTCCGGACCAATTAAATCAGTGTCTGTGGGGCCAATGGTTTCTACGGTTCCCCAGGTGCTTCCACTGGGCATCTGAAGGTGAGAGCTGCTGGCTTACTGACAAATATTCTCACCCAGCTGCACTAGCCAAGGTCTGGCAACTGGACCTGGTCTCTGGCTAAGGTCACTCCGGGAGATGACTGACAGCTGGTGCAGGACTAGAAGCTCAGTTAGAGGACCCCTCTTTGGGGCCCACCCTTCACTCACTGGTTAGCAACCTATCCTGGTCAAAAGCCAACTCACAAAAGCCAAAATATATTTAAGGGCTGCAGTATTTTTCCATTCTATATAAAAATAACTTGAAAGAGGCCCATAAAAAAATGATTAGTGTTACAATTTTAGATTACCTATTTTGTTACATAGGAGACTGAAGATTGGCAACTCTTACTTATTTAAAATATCTATCTGGGTATTTTTAAGAAAGGGACAGGTAGACAGTTGTCTAGACTTCTATCTTCATGTTATGTAAGTGATGTAAGTGATGAATCACTTAAATAAATTCTGCACCTGAAACTAAAAATAAAATAAAATAAAATATAACAAACTGTCATCAGATTACATCATGGACCTAATTATGAAACCAGGTGGTCTGTGGGTGGTTCTGGAATGTTGATTGCACATCTCTGCTTTAGTTTATGATCCTCTAATGCCTGCATGGACATTACCTAATTAAATCAATTTTGAATCTCTACTTATTGGGGAAAATCTGTATTCTTTATATACTTTAGACTTGGCATTTTTCTTTGTGAGACCAAACAGAAGTGGTTAAAATCTGAAACATGGCAACAACTGGCCTCAGGAAAAGAGTAAACACAAAGCATCACTTGTTCATGTGGCAAATTTGGAAAATGGAGTTTTGATGCGCTAACAGGCTCTAACAAGACCAGGAGCTTGTAGATGGTAAAGCACCAACATTCCAGATTGATAACTGAGCACTGACAGAGTGCTAGTTCTGATGTTGCGCAGGTTTTCTTCTTTGGATCACACACACACACACACACACACACACACACACACACACACAAACACTCTCACACACACACCCAGTTTCACACATGCTCTCTCACATACACACACTGTCTTATACACACACTCACACACTCTCACATACACACACCCTCTCTCTTGCATGCACACTCTCATACACACACTCTCACATACACACACACACTCTGATACCCTTCCCAATCTTCTTGGCAATTCTCTGCTTTGCTTTCCTCTGGAGCACTTTATTTTTTTCACTGACTAAAGCTTCACGATGGGGAGTTCATTTGAGGAAGTGCGAGGAGGTTAGGAATATAGCCTGTGTCGGGCTGGCTAGTGAGCAAAAAGACATAACCTATGAAACAAAGTTTTAATTTTTATTTTACATATTTATACATAAAACTTTCAAGGAACCCTCTGAATCCAACAGAATGTTAATAGCACATCTAAAAATGAACTTCAGGTAGTCAACATTCACAAAATGTTGAAAACTGATTAAAATGTACTTATTACGGAGAGCTACAACTTCACTACGAGGCAGGCATGTATTTTCTGACTTTATAGATAGCACCGTCATTTACAGTTCTTCTTTAAACTACAGTGAAGAATGAAAGTAGTCAGTGGTAAAATACTGCTCCAACTTAAAATCTCTAAACAAACAAACAAAAAATAATAAAGTTAAAACTACCCTCTTTGAGAACCATGACTTGTGATGGTGTCAGTACTGTACATTTTTTGTAACAATATTTTATTAAAATGCCTGATAGTTAGTGGCACAGTAAAAAAATTAAAATAAATTAAGAAGCAAAGGCCAATCACTGGACGTTAAGCTTCAGACATTATCAATGACTAACACTGATATTCGTTTGTTTCTGCGCCACCTTTAGCAACAGCATTTTTACAACCACAGAAGCAAAAGAAATTTTAGCTTGTCCTCCAGTCAGATGGCTTCTTTCACTTGGCAGGCATTTTCTCTGCCATGTGCTTCTGCTGACTTTCCGCATGTCTGTAAAAGGAATCATACGATTATTTAGCGCTAAGACGAATGCTCCAAACTTCTTTCTAATGCACAGTTACAACAATCCCCCAAACTGAGCCCCAGAGTTACTCACAGTGGAACCAAGAGAATTAAGTAACAGTACTTAATTCAACAGATTTTGACCTCTTTAATTTGTATATTCTCTGTACGATTCCTTTTATTAAGTTACTAGATTAACCTGGGAATGGTAGATGTCATTACTTTTGAGAAGAAAAAGCACTGTGTTTTTAAAAAAGGAGGTAAGTATCTGGGAAAATAGAGCCAACAAATGAATATGCTTCTCTGTCCCAGGTACTGTTCCTGGTGCCATGAATTTGGTGGTGAGCAGACACTGAGGTCTTTGGTTTCACGGCACATATATTCCAGTGGAGAGGGACAAAAAAGGAACCGATAGCAAAGAAGGAGAGAGCCGGTAGTATGTAAGTGCTAGGCAAAAAGTCCAAACCAGGTGTTGTCAAAGAGGGGAACCGCGTGACTACTTTATCTAAACACAAGCACGCAGACACAAACATAAGCATTCAAAAGGCTCTTGACAGAAGTTAAAGCCAATAGAACCATTATATATAAAAAAAGTATATATATATATATGAGATATATATACATATATATTAGAAGTTAAAGCCAATAAAACCAAAGCCAGTTCCCCCCTTACGAAAGCTAATGTCTTCCTAACAAACTGTGGGTTTCTATAGGTGTCAAGATTTTCCATGTTTGCATACTCCCTCCCTGCCCCACATTAGTTCTAAAGCCATCATCAGGGCGGTGAGGGTAAGTGGCTGGGTGGGGTGAGTCTTTTTAGTCATCGAGCCCTATTGCGGCCCATGAGCCCCACATTCAACCAACCCAGCAGCTGGCCAGTGGAGACGGAGGGGGAAGAATGGGAAAGCTGCTGACATCACTTGAATGTGCGCTAATTAAACATTTTCCCAGAGTGGTAGTGTTTGACGTCTGCAAAAGACAAATGTTTCGATGGACAATTTTAGGAATTTAAAAATTTGGCAAGAGAAAACATCTTAGGCTGTGGTTTTCAGCTGTTATCAAAGGCTCAGGGGCAGTTTTTGTATGTTTCCTAGATTTGGGTAGTCAGTGACGTCAAGTTTAACTCACTGGCTTTGTGCAGAATGTCTCCTATCTGGGGATAGGGGAGGCAAACCACAAATACTTTCAGAAATAGGGAAGTGACAACAGTGTCCTTGCCACATTCAACGGCCCACAAATAATTGGTGATATTCATTTAATAATAAAGGAACTCAAGAAAAAAAGATCAGCCCTTTAGTCCTAAAAGAATACGCCCTTCAGTGGACCCTGTCATGGCCCTGATTATGTGTGTAAAACAGCTTTGATCATTTTCATCAAGTAGTTTACAGGCCTCACTTAAATTCAGCTCAAGAAATATTTTGATGCCCACTGAGCTAAGATTCCACTATAACTAATTAAATTATAGTTTCTACAGCAGTTAAAAAATACATGTGAGTGCACACGTGTGTGTATACACACATATGGTGAGGGGTTTTTCTGAGCGAGAGGGAAAGGACAGGAAATAGCTTCAGAAAATATTGAAAGCTGGGTGTTATCCTGAGACATACATACAAGCACGGATTTCATTAACATTTTAAACAAAGGAGGGAAAGGGTTTTAGTCCATAAAACTAAAAGGTTCTCATCAACTATTTATATGAAAGTCCTTATTAGCATTTGTTTGACTTAAACCCCACAAGAACTCCTTTTTTAGCAACTATCATTACCGAGGACCTGTGCCTGGCAGGCCCTGTCCTAGGGTCTGGGGACACAGGGGAGAATGAAAACGGCCTGGCCTCTGCTTTAGAGGGAGGAGGGGTTTGTGTGCAGTGAATGAGGAGAAAGAGCAGATGATGTAACACAATACGATCAGGATCCATGTGGAAGGGATGCCATGTGGCCAGGAACACGGAGAGGGTCCTACCCCAGTCTTGGGAGCCGGGGCGGGGGCATCAGGGAGCACTTTTCTAAAGAGGTGTTACATCTCAATTGCATCTCAGTGCATCTCAAATTCGGCTCTGCTTTGGAATCACATGGAGAGTTAAAAAAAAATCCAAATACCCAGGCCACCCCACAGAATCATTAAATCGGGATCTTTGAGGGTGGGACCCAGGAATCAGCAGTTTATAAATCCCCAGGTGATTTCAATGTGCAGCTGAAATTGAGAACCACTCATCCGCATTGACACCTGGAATGGCAGAACGTCTCACTCTCTACTGGACAGGTAAAGGGAACAGGTGAACAGAACTTCCCAGGGATCTGGCTGCAAAATTCTGACTTTGCTATTTTCACATACCCTCAGATTCCCCCAGGAGCAAAGTGACAGTTTGCAGCCAGGAGTGGACACAGGAACTTCTCCCCACTTCCTCCCCTTTAAAGGCTTCCTCTAACACCATTAAATTAGTAACTCCCCTCCTTTTCATCCCGTGGTTCTGCCTGCCCTGTTTCCCATGATCGCACCAAACCCAAGTACCAGCTTAACACTCCAAGAGGAGAGGGGGGCCTCTCACCAGTGTCCTCACCGGTGTTGAGGAATGCCAGTGCTGCTTTGAGAAAAGGTCTTTGCTGTTGCAGGCAAGTCACAGAATTTACAAAAGAGTTCACCTATTTTTTTGAAGATGCAGGTTTTGGTCTTAGATTTCACTAAGTGAATTCCCATCATCTTAATAGATATACACAAATCTCTTTGACTAAAAAAAAAAAAAAAAAAAAAAAGGACGTGTCTTATAGTTGTTGGGGCAGTGGCTGGAGACATGGGTTGAAGGCAGTAATATTATGTGAGTGTTGCTGTGATATTTTAGATACAGGCGAATATGCTAAGAAGGTATGAGGCCTTCTGGCTTTTTGTTTTTTGTTAGGGGTGAGGCACTATAGTACCCAAAGCACACTACCCATAGTTCTTTTTTTTTTTTTTAAAGAAAAAAGCCTAAACATAGTTCTGTAGCATTTATTTTGCTACCCAAACTATTTTTATAACACTGAATTTAGAAAAATAATTTAGCTAGCGTTACACTTTGAGAAGAGGTCCTGTGGTAGGTGTTAAGTGCATTTTCCCTACATGTGTTTTCAAAGCTTCTCTCGGATGGTTCTAGATCATGTGGTTAATTCCTTAGGTTACTGTGAGAAGCGGTGTTCTTTCTCTCCTTGGGGAGCCTTCTACTCTCTGAATCCCATTTCTGGGATTAATAGTAGTTGTTACCTCTTGGTTTAAAGACTTCACATGTACTGTTTCAGAAAAGGTAGCAAAGTATATATGAGATCATACGCGTGCTCATGATATTTCCCAGACTTTATATACTAATGGGGATAGGCTTTCCTACAAAGAGAACTGCTAAGAAATGCCAGATCTTGACTGGCCTTAGCCTCGTTTCCGTCTCCTGATGCGGGGGGAGGCAACATTCTTTACCTCTGCTGAGGGGGTGCTTGGAGTCAGGCCCTGCTGGAGACTCAAGTCCTGGAGTGTCCCCCACAGTGAGAACAATCTGGTGGCACTGGCGCTGTGGAAAGACGCCAGGGTCCCTGCCTTCTGGACACGGCAGGTGTGGGTGAGATCTGGGTCACAGAGCACCAAATAACACCCTATGGCACCCACTGCATGGCTGCTTGTGTGCTGGATGTGGGCCAGCGTGGAATGGCGTCCGGCTGGCTGCCCAGGAGGACAGTCCTCCAGGAGAAAGTCGTCCTGGTCCAGAACTGCTGACCTCCTTTGGGGGAGGTGGTGGTTATGAGAAATCCTAATGTACTGGGAGGACGGTTGTGAAAAAGCAATGCATTTGTGTGTGTGTGTGTGTGTTTAAGCAGTGCCTTTGGAAAGGAGTTTTAGCCACTTCCTCTCCATCTAGACAGCTGACCCCAGCAGAGATGAGGTGAGTTACTCATGGAAGTAAGGGGAAGGTGTTCTCTGGAGCCTTAATTCTTCAACTCAGACCACCCTGGGCTTCTTTCCTTCTCTGGCAAGGGTGAGCCTCACTGACCTGGTCAAGTCCTCGATGTCCACCAGCATGGCGTCTTGCTCCGTGTGCAGCTCGTCTCGGATGAGGAGCAGCTGGACCAACTCTTCATTCAAGCCTGGAGCGAAGAAAGGGGGCATTTACGAACGGATATGATCGCATCCAAGTCAGCCGCTATATGGACCATTGCACAAGTTACTCTGGCTAAGATTTAGAATTCTTACGTTAGCCCTTCACAGCCCAGGAGAAGTCCTCGGTTTGAGAACATGACTAGTTGGCATAATTACAGAAGTGTTGGAAGAAAAGGGGTAAAGTAGGTAGTACTTCCAGTGACAGTCACATTAAAGTGGGAAAAGAAATCGTTAGCTGTTAGGAAAATCGCTAAAATAACAGTGAAGGCTGTTCTCAGTAATATCTAAGTCCTATCTCAAGAAAAGCGAAAGCCAGATGCGTAAGACCTTGAAATCTCTGAATGAGTACCAAGGAGAAGATTCCTTAGGATTCATACTGGGAATAAAACATATGTAGATAGAAACATTTCTAATCCTCCTGAAGTCAGTGCACTGGGTGAATTTGGCTCCTATTCCTGAAAAATAGAAACAAGCAAGGGGCTCTCTTATTTTTAACCCTTAGACTGAAGCTTTTAGGTCTGGACACAGGGACACATGCACCATAGCGTTCATTTAAGCAGCAAGAGCTCTAGGCCCAGAAACAAAGGAAAGGAAGGAGGTCTTCCGCTCGGTTCTCCTTGGAAGTGCTTTTAGAAATCCTGACTTCAAATGATGTATTGATCTGCCTTTAGTTCAGATTAGTTTCCAATTTAAAAAAGGGGGGGGGGAATCATACAAAGAGGTCTAAATTCATCTACTACTAAAAAAAGCTGGATGATAATTTTAGTATTTAGAAGTCTAAGGAAGACGTTTCAGTAGTAAAATATCGGAAAGCCTTTTCGGTCCTTGAAATAATTACAGTCCTAGTAATTTACTCTCAACTAAAATTAAAATGTAGTAGAATTTAAAAAAACAACAACTCTGTGAATCTATGGTTTCTTAATTAGAATGTCAAACGCTTTCCCTTGATTTTAAAACAATACTGAACATATTAAATTAATTCTGAATATGTCCAATTCTATTTTTTCAGTATGTTTTTAGGGTAGTTAAAAATTTTTTTTTTTCTTAATTCCAGTACAGTTGCTTTTTATACTAGCACTCAGTAGAGGGCCCACATAGTGCATGGAAATTTTTTCCCCACGTGAAGTTTTTCACTTTTTGGTTTGGAAATTTTCAAACTGATACAAAAGCAAAGAGATTGATTCAATGAATCCCCATGCCCCATGCATCCAACCAGCTTCAAAAACGATCAGCTCATGGCCCATCTCGACACATCTATCTTCCCTTCTCTTACTAGGTTATTTTAAAGCAAATTTCAGACATGATATCATTTCATCTGTAAATGTTTCAGTATGTATCTTTAAAGACAGGGCTCTCTTTTTCTAAGTTAACATAACCACAATACTTTCATCATACCTAAACAAATTTTTTTTTTTTTTTTTTTTTTTTTTAAGGAGAGAGTGTGCAAGTTGGGGGGAGTAAAGGGGGAGAGAGAGAATCTCAAGCAGACTCCATGCACGGAGCCGAAATCAAGAGTCGGACGCTCGACTGACTGAGCAACTCAGGTGCCCCATCAATAAATCTTATTAAAACATTCAGTCCGTGTACACATTTCTTGGCTGACTCTTAAGTGCTTCTTTATAGTTAGTTGGTGAATGCATTTGGTTGGTCTCTTAGGTGGTTTTCAATCTTAAGTTCACAGGATTTTATAGAATCTTATGTTCCAAAGGTTGGAGGGCACATGGATTCAGCTGGACTAACCACACTGCCCAAGTGGGTATGTTCTATGTTCTCTCTGTCACTGGGCTGAGCAACCAGCTGCCCTTCTCTGCGTAACCAGGCACCTAAGTGAGCACCTCTCATGTGCCATCTATCGGCACACTTCTGTTGGAGGCCCTTCTTTATTCTGGGGGCGGGAGGGAAGGCCCATAATTTGTCAACCTGTAATTATCACATATTGGTCATACAAATTTTCCCCACCTGGAGTCCCACAAAATAAGCTGAATCTGATTTGATGACCCAAAACGAACAGATACACAAGTACAGTTGAGGGTGTAATTGCATAATTAATGACACGTAACTACCAAATGGTAGTCCAGAAACTGATGCTGCGAGCCAAATACACACATCGTGCTCGGCGCTGGGGCTTTGAGATGAATCAAGAGGACCTCTCACCTCTGAGAACCTTGAATAATTCTTGAAATTTCTGAACACTTTACGGTAAAAAAACAAAAACAGAGCCTTGTGATCCTCTTCCTTCTCTTGCGGCACGCAGGAGGAACCCAAGGGAAGGGACAAAGGAAGTGAATCAAGGAGGTAGTACTATCCCACGATATTTCACATCGAACTCCCCATTTTCAAGCTCTCCGCACACTTACTTTCTATCTGGGAATGGAGATCGTTGACTATCACTTGTAGCTGCCCGAGAGTCATGTCCCGCAGGTCGGTGGGCTTTAAACTTCTTTTCATCAGGCATTCGCTTATATGAGGCATGTGTGGCAGCTGAAGATACAGAAGGAAGAAATGGAGGTGTGACCTGAGCAGCCACGGCACTGAGAACAAGACCCACTTTTCTCCTGACAGATCTGCTCTCACCCACTTCCGTTCTGGGCCTGTGCTCCAGAGCATTTCCCAGTGCGAGCTCCCCACCCCAGCCCCACACACCATGTTGTCCAAAACATTTCTGGCGTCAAAATGCGACACTAATCAAAAGCTATCAGACTGGTCTTGAACATAGGCCATGACAACTGCGAGTCCGTGATCATGTCTACAAATGAATGACGAGGGAGCTCCGGGAATACCAATGACATGGATAAAATTAATAATATCAGCTCTCTATCCGTCTGCACCATGTTATAAGCACTGTGCTGTGTGCTTTAAATGCTTTGTTCACTGAATTCTCACAATCGTGCTCTCACACCGGTGTAACTATTCCCATTTTATAGACGACAAAACTGAGACTTCAGTACCTTGCCCAGAGTCCCACAGCAAGTTAATGGCAGAGGTGACCTTCAAAGCCCAGGGCCCTTATCCATTATGCCATACTGTCTTCACTGAAAGGTGGGAATGACAGCCATGGCGATAGTGAGTTTGCCACAACCAGTAGGTTCTAAACTAGTACTGTTTTAATGACATTAAAATATTCCCCTGACAGCTAATATCACCTCTAAGAAATATAGCAGATATTTGAATCCAGATTTTCTATGAATGAATAGATATTGAATCTATCCATTGAATATGGATATGAATCCAGAACAGAGTTTACTTTTGTGTAATCTGTTGCTTATGAATCTTTCAGTAGGAAGGAAAAAGAAACAAACTTAAATATTTCTCAATGACAGTACTTTTTACAAACTGCCTTGTAGAAACCCAAGTTTGCATAACTCTGGGAAAGAACTGGGACCGCATCAACCATTTTAGCCACCAAACTCGCTGGCATTTCAGTGTCTCCTGCTTACGAGATCAGCGACGGGAGACTTTTTCCTGTTCTGTTTTTCCACTTCTACTTGCATTTTGGCCATTGGTTTGGCCATGGCGAGGGCCATTTTGGCTTCGGCTTGCAATTTCTTTTGCCTTGTGAGGAAATCCATGTCATCCAGGGATTCGGATTCCTCTTCCGTAGTGTCTCTATCAGAATAGGAAGAACTCTGTTTGCTCTGTGAAGGGAAAAAGAGCAGCCCTGAGCTTTCTGTGTCAGGCGCCATCTCTGGAGATGGGCTACCCCAGTCGTTGGTCCCGCCCAGAGTGGCTGAGAGACTGCCCTCCATCAACGTGACTCGCTACTTGACTTGGTCTATACGAATCTCGGGTAACATTAGAGCAGAGGGTTTATTTCTTCAGTGCCAAGAACAGACTCTGATTTTAGCAGAGTCACATAACAATAGGGAGAATCTGCTTATGACAACCTCGAGATGTCCCTTTGGTTCTAGGTCTCAAAATTTCCTGAAGGGATCAGACACAGCAAAAAATTTAACCCAGAGCTACGGCAGCATGTTGTTCTCTGGAGTGGACAGGATCTCAAGTATCCAGTGAAATTCTGACGTTGCCCTGCACTTATGGACCAACGCGGCTTCCTGCTGGTCGTTCTTTGGTAAGAAAGATGATAAAGCCGTCACAGAGAGTAAAGGATTCCAGCAATAAGCCCCCGGGATCATTAAGCCATCCTTTGCAATATGTACGCAAGAAATGAGCCGGGAATGTTTTACACACATCATCTCACTGGTTTCTCTGAGGAACGTCCCTGTGTGCTAGTGCTCCCATCCTCACCCGGACCCCGCCCCCACCTTTCAGAATGCGTCCCACTGCTGCTCTGCACTTAATATTTCTCAGCCCCATGGAGAAGGACATAGAGCATAGGTGAGCTCTCTCATGGTTCAGTATGAAAGTAGTTGCTAACTTTAGCAGAGTTTATGTGTCCTTGTATCACAGCTTTGATTCTTCACTGTCAAACTTTAGGAGCATGCTGTGTCAAGAAATGGCACGAGACATTTCTTTTTTCATCTCTGCCATGTTTTGTTTTTTCCTGACAAATGAGAAAAAAGGAGCTAAATGACCAGGAAGGCACACACACAGAGCTTTGGTGGCTTTGGACTCACCATGGGAGACAAGGGGGTGTCCAGGCTGGTTTCCGTCTTACTGTCATCAGCATCGCTGTCCTTATCACTGCCGCTGTCGTTGACAAAACATATCTGCAGGTTCATCCCACTCTGTAGCCTGCGTGGAAGCAAGGAGGACAGCCGTTCTGCTCAGTTGTTTGTTATCTGGGAGCGCGCGTTAAAACTGTCTGGCTTTGTTAATGGAAAGCAATCTTAGGTGTTGTTGGCAAGGAGAAGTGGGTCAGTCCCAATGTCAGTCCCAACTTACCCATGATAACTAAAGGACAACGGTGATAACTTAATGAGTTCATAAGTTGATAAAAGATAAAATGCTAACTTTTGCTAATATCACTTTTTTTCACACCAATTTCATGTTAAAGGGAAAGATAATTTCAGGCCACATAGAATAGCCCCTGGCACAACACCAAACACATGGTTGGTACATAATAAACACGTGTGGAGTCACTGAGTTTACATTCCTGTTGATAAAGATGAATGGGGTCCTCAGCATGCGGTCATCTCGTGTCCTGTCCCATGGGGACGATTCAAAGAAGCTCATTAGAGCAAAGCTCTCTGAAGAAAGACTGCTCCCCACCCCCCACAAATAGAATGGGGTTGTCTGAGGTAAAGCTATGCTTTGAGCAAGTTGCCAAAAGCCAACCAAGGAAGCTCATTTATGTCATTAAAAAAAAACACACCACAGGTTCACCCTAGAGAAACCTAAGGAAACCCCGAACCCAGTCAGAGAGACACAACCTTGGAACCCAGGAGAGCGCATAGAGCACGAGGTGCTAGAGAGGTGGCCACAGAGGGTCACCAGGCTGTGTCTGTGCCACACAAGGTGGACCACGGATACAACTCTCTGTCCTAACCTTTTTTTTTAAATTGAACACATTTCAAAATACTGTTTGGGTCTGAAGACTTTTTAACGAAGTAATTTTTCTTTTAAAGATTTTATTTATTCATTTCATTGACAGAGAGAGACAGCAAGAGAGGGAACATAGGGGGAGTGGGAGAAGGAGAAGTCCGCTTCGTGAGGAGCAGGGAGCCCGATCTGGGGCTCGATCCCAGGACTCTGGGATCATGACCTGAGCCAAAGGCAGACGCTTAACGACTGAGCCACCCAGGTGTCCCTAAAAAAGTAAATTTTCAAGCCTCCCCAGTAGTCCCAGTCTGTGTGTCAGCATAGGAGACCCCTCAGCAGCAAGGGACCATAAGGAGACTTGTCCAAGCCAGGGGCAGGAAGCCAACACTGAATTGCTCTGGCGGCGTTATTACTGTCACAGAGAGAAATGCAAAGAGCAACTTGTCTGATAGTTGACATTAGTATCTTTTTTTATTCCAGTGGGTAGGGATGCTTTGTATAAATTGCTCAGATGACTCACAGAAAATGATTCTTTGACAATTATAGGGAACCCAGAAAAAGAAAATCTACCCATTTAAAGCAGACACCGTCACAGTTACGTGTATGTACTGCCACCTATTGGTAACTTTTGGAATTACTAAAAGTCCAGTAGGGAAAGGCAGCCTTCTCCCTTAGCAGGCTGCTTCTGTTCCCTGCGTGTCCTCCTCTGCAGACCAGGAGCCACGCCCTAGCTAGGCATGGAAGGGACATGTTCTACTGTGATCAGCTCAGGGGGCTTGGAGTCAGTCGGACTTAGGTTCTGAATCCTCACTTCTTTCTCTGGGCCCATTACTTAACCTCTAAGAACCTCAGTTTCCTCATCAGTAAAATAGGGTGAATAATTCCATGTATTGTTGGAAGGATGACAATAGTTCAGAGCTAGGCACAGGGTAGGTGCTCTGTACATATTCACAGTCCTCCTTTTTCTACTTTCTGAAAGCCCAGACAAAGGAATACAGAATTTTAAAAGTGATGTGGCTTTGTAAAGGGACCGCTAAAGTCACTTACTTGAATACCTTGGCTGGCCGTGAGTAGCTCTGACAGAATGTCCTCAAGTTGTCTTAAACTATTAGGCAGCTTGGACTTCTACTGAGCTAGAATTTATCGCCTTTTAATTTTCTTCCATTGGAATCCTCCCCCCCGGAGAAATCTAATATGTTCAGGTTACCCTTTGCTCCCAGATAAATTAAGTTTTAAAATTAATTATCTGTAGTTTGTCAACCACCCCCTCCAATCAACCCATTTTTAATCTAAAACTCAAGATATATGGATTAGGAAATAATGGGAAGTAAAACTGCAAATTAAAAAAAAAAACACATTAAAAGCATATTTTAAAAGTAAAAAGTCGTTTTAAATTAAACCTAATTTGAATTTAGGGGTATGTAGCATTTTCTATTTACCGAGCTACTAAAGTCTTGAAAAGACGTGTCCGACACTGGAGGCACAGATTATTAAAATAAATAAATAAATAAATAACCTGTGATACCATTACAAAATAAGGTTTAAATCACCCAGGGATATATATTTTCATTCTGAAGAAAGTCTGATCATAAATTCTGTTGTTCTGCTCCCCAACTGACCTTTGTGCTAAGGATCAACTCAGACCTCAATCAACCAAACCATACAGCATTTCTAACTCAGGAAAGGCAAAGAAAAAAAAGGAGGGGGGGAAGATTTAGTAGTCAGAATGAAATGAAAAAACACCTCAGGTAGAAATTCAGAAAATCGCCTTAGTACCACATTATCACAGTGGGAAACTGAGCAGAGCTTCTTACTGGCTGAGACTTATAATTCCTTATAGCAGTAATCACCATGAATGTTACTCTCAGGAAAAGGAAATTATATGACATAACAGCTAATGGTTCAGAGGGTATTTTAGTAAAGACATCTTAAAATGGACTCAGGTTTCAAGAAGGATTTGTTTGCCTTTAGCCTTTAAGCAGGTTTTAAGACGGAGATGGCTTTGGGGAAACTCAATCATAGATCTCGAGCAGCAGCTCGGCTGAGGGGTGAGTGGGGCCACCTGGTGCTCTCGAAGGCCTCTGTGTCACGGGGTCAAGCATGATAAGCCTTCTTCTGCACCCCTTCCCGCCTGGGGGAAGTACGGCTGTTCTGAGGCTCCCTCCTGCAGCCTGCAGTCCTGGGCCTCTGTCCCGTGCGCGCGCTGTAGGCCACCTGGCCTCACTGAGACCCCAGCTACCAGTCTTGCAAAATCTGAGCCGCCCGGGGGTCCAATTTGCCTGGATCTCCCAAGCATCATCAGAGATGAAAATGAAATGTGATCCTCATCTTTTAATTATTTAATTTATGTAATTTAATGTATATAATTTATAATATATATTTAATTTATATAATTTAAGGCATCCAAGTCAAGGCTGCTTGATGTTTCGAGTGGCATTTACTACAGTGTTGCATGCAAAACGCTGCCTGGCGTCTGCCTTGCCTGTCGGTATTGGAGCTGAAAGGTCTGTGTCCTGGTTATCCCGGAAACCACTTCTCTTTATGGACCACGAGGCAGTGAAAAACCACACCGCTGCCCAGAGTTACTGACAGGGAGCCCCAGGACCTGAGCAGAGGGTGTTCCAGATTGAGAATGCTCAGAAATACGAAGACACAAAGACTAAGTATGTCCTCTGGGCATCTCAGTGTGAGTGCAGGGACTTCCTTAGTGACAGTGCCTACTGGCTAGCGCAGGAAGGCATGTAGTGGAGAGGGTGTTCAGTGACAACGTCTGCTTGGCTTTCAAGGCAAGGAACACCTTTACTTGTAAAACACCCGTGCTGACTTCCAACTACCATTACTGGAGATATTATTATTAAAATACGCCCAACACCGAAAGGATGGTGGAGGTGAAGGTTTTTAACTACTAAGAGGACGGTATCTCAAAAACCTAGTCAAGTGATAATATAATCTGGTATAAAGATAATACTTTTTTTTCAAAATATAAGGACCAGGCCAGTTTATTCTCTGAAAGAAACAATGTGATTGATGATCCTAAAGTCTGTGGCGACTTCTAGTAGCGTGGTAGCCACTGTGAATCTGGTCTTTGGCCTTGGTCTTGGTTTGAGGTGATGGACTGGGCTGTTCTGAGGACAGTTCTGAACCCCAGAACTACTTGGTGTTTTCTGATTTTAGAAACAGCTGTCTCCCAGCACCAGCATAGAACACCGGTGTCTACACAGAAACGTTGAAGAGTCTGTGGTTTTTACCCCCTACACCGTCCCTTAGTTAACTTCACTTGAACTGTTGCACTCAATACGAGTTTAAAATGACGTTCGCTTGTATTCCCTTGTTGGGCTGTACAACCACCTGTGATAACAGGCAAGGTGACAGTTACTCAGAGAAGTCACAAAAGCTCCCTAGACCCATAACAGCCTGATTTATAAAAACGGTCCTGATTCTTCCCTCCCTGCACCTGTCCCCTCCGTAATGTGACGGGCAGCTTCTCCCATCAAGAGCCGGAGTCTATTTCCCTGCCCCTGGGCTGGCCTCTGACACGTCTTGCCAACGTGCCTATGTGCCAAGTCTCCCCCTCAAGAAGCCCTGCCACTGCCCTCAGGACAAGTCCAGGCTTGCCTGCTGGCAGATGAGTGACTTCACAGCACAGAGCTTGACCAGCAGTTGTCCCACTGAAGCCCCAAATGCACGAGAGAGCTTGGCGGAAAAGGCACCTCACCAAATGAGGGGGTGGGGCTGCAGACACGAGTAAGCCCATTGGAACCCAGCTCTGATCAGTAGAACTGCTTGGCCGACCTAGAGGCTCCCAAGCAGAAATCAATGTTTATTATTGTATGCCACTGATAAGGGGGGTTTTTGGATTATACATCGTCATTGTGGTAACAAATAACTGGTACGAGGTCACAAAGAAGAGACCACAGGCTGAACCTCTGGTTCTTGAATCCAGGGCCCTTCCCCCCACTACACTTAACCTCAGGTCTGGATTTATTAGATCTTGCCTGTGTGTCTGTTAATATAATCGTGGTGTGCTTATACCTCCTGCACGTGTTTATCATTCTAAGGCAATTGTTTGGTTTTCCTCAAGAAGCGGAGTGAGAAGGAACTACCCATATGCTTATGGATTTCAGATGTGCCTTGCTCATCTTCTGTCTGCAGCTGGAGTGGCTGTGAGAGCCACTGGCCCCGCTCTCTCATTTGTTGCTCAATATCCCCAACTCGTTTGTGACTGGGCCATTAAAATGTTATTCCCATCTATT